AACATGGTGGGAAGAAGAATGCCTCCTGATGGACACTGTACTAAAAAGGAGACAATGCTTTAGCTGCAGCTTGATGCCATAGCCCCTTCAGTCTTTTTTCCTTGGCATCCCATGACATTGCGTCCCAAAGAAAGAGAACATTCCAAAATACCTGCAATATTTATCTAGTTGCTATGGCTAGAAAGGGTGCATTCTGCACAGTGCCTGTGCTTGTAGGCTTATATTTTCTAGGATGATATCTTTTTCCATTTGTGCTTGTTTGTGAATTAAAACAACAAAAAATAAAATATTCTCCCCCATCTCTTGTCACTGAGAAGTACTTACAACCTGTGATCTGGTGAAGGGCAGTGGGGTAGTGACAGCAGAGAGTTGATGGTTATTCTTCCCATCAGTGTTTGATCACAGGCAAGATGAGCAGTGATGCTGTGTATGAGTCTGTTGTGTTTTACGTTGGTGTGTACATGTGTGATCCTGCTTTACAGACTTAATTTGTGGCCCTCATTCTGTGATTTACAACAGGAATCAATCAATAAAGGTATTTACATTGGACTGTGGTTTTGTCTTCAACATCGATCAGGAAAAGGGTGGTGTTCTTGGTCTTTCCTCAACAGAAATGTTTGGGAATTCACCTGAAACTGTCCGAGAATTCAGGTGAAATTCTAAGTGTAAGTGTTATCCTATTGTAGTGACTTGAACAACGATATTTGATTGTCGCAGGTAATTTTTGTAGTGCTAGAAAGGAATCTTTGAAGGACCCTACTGAAATGTAGATACACAACATGTGGAGAGGGCATCTCATGAACAAGTAGGGAGTAAATCCCTCTCTCACATCTGGAAGATAAAAACTTCCAGGAAGAAAGTCGTCAACGAGTGGCTCTGCTGATTTCGCCTGATGGCTGAGGGGATTGTGTGTGTGTGTGTGTGTGTGTGTGTGTGTGTGTGTGTGTTCAAAATACTATAGGCAGAATACCTCTTAAGGTTGATTTTAGTTTATGCTTTTGAATCCTCTGATGGCAGTGGCTGGCACTCAAGTACAAGGGTCTGAAGCTCCTCCACTCTCACTTTTTATGAAGGTTGTGTGGAGGGAGGAACCAGTGAGGAATTAACTACTCATACATGTGTGAGTACTTGAGTAATGACTAAAGCTGCCATGTGGACTCTGAAAGTCTCTACACCAGAGTAGAAACCCCTTCCCCTAGCTGGACATCTTTTACTATATATAGGTTTGATTCTCTTTTTATGCATCTTTTGTTGTCTTAGTATTGTTCTAAACAACAAAAGGTCTCAGTCTGTGTTATTTTTAGGCTGTTCTGTGTGATAGTTGTAGGATTTCCTTTCATCCTATATCTTGCCCTGATGACAAAATATGAATTAATATAGCAGGCAGTCTTGTTCCTGGACTGTCTGTGTGACTTGGCTAAGTCTGTGGGCCCTTTTTCCATGTTGGTAGTTGGAGGCACTAATGCTTCTTTACATCATTAGTTTCTTGTGGGGAGAAGTTATTAATCAAACAGATAATTTAGTAGTATTTCATTCAGGAGCTAAGATACAGTCTCTGCACCTTTTTTGCCGTAAAGTACCTGACACCTGGAGCTCAGTAGAAATCTCTCTATCTATTAAAAGCAGTGTGCTTTCCCTGAGGATTTCAGGATTTGTACATTCTGCTACGCTTTTGGATGTTTGTGTTGAGCGAATGGTCTTGGGGGAGCATGAGAAGAGGAAAGCTTGAAAACCCATTTAAATTACAAGACTATAAAGAACTCTTTTGTGCAATCTTCTGTTTGCAGTTTTATTGCCCTGCAATATTTGACTTGTATGTTAGGTTTTCTGTGTTTGTATTTGTATTTTAGAAATGTACACAAAAAACCTTTTTATAACATGCTGATACCAGTGCTCATTGGATTGCTGTCACTTCCCTGTGCCTTTGTTTACTTTTTAATTTAGTTTTAGTTTTGTTCTTTATTTGCAGATTTATAATTAATTCATATATTTATTTTAATTCTGTGTCTTCCATCCCTTTCTCTGTAGTCCTTAGTGTTTCTGTCTCTTGTATCAGTTCCAACTTTGCTACCTTCTTTATTTATTGTGTTCCAAGCAGAGAAAATTAGATGGATGTTCAAGAAACCATAAATATCCCTATTGGCATTAAAAATGTTTAGATCCTAGTTTTCTTTTCTCTTCTTGCAGTGATAAGGAGTAAAGAAAGTTCCTTCTGTAAGTTTATTGTTGAAACCCAAACCTCAGATATCCCTTGGATCAGATATTCTGATTATGGAAGCAAACAAAGCTTTGTTTACCCTGACTGATGCTCAGTCCCCTTGCATGTCTTCCAGTTCATTTACTGAGAATTTGCTGATCTTTGTTCTTGTTTAGCTAGGTTTTGTTGACTGTGTTGTTCATTATGGGTTTAAACTTGTATTTTCTCTTTCTAACAACTTAAAACATTGGGAGTTTTTTCCCCCTTTGTATCCATTTACTTAGTTATGTCTTTTGAAGAGGTGTTGCTTCATTAAACATTTTCCTGCTTAGTCTGTAATGATCCTACTACTTCCACTCTAAACACATCATTACATTAAATAGTTTCATTTGTCTTCAGTGGGATGAAGATGTTGCACATTGTCTTTGGTTCTTGAGGCCTCTTTGATACGTGATCTTCAGTGGTGTAACTGCACTGTGGAAGACTCAGCTGGGTCTATGCCAGTCTTCCTATGCAGGGTTTTTTAGCCTGTAATGGAGCAAATATGATATCACACTGGTGACAACAGTATGATTATGCTTCTACAAAATTAAGCATCTGAGACTGCTTTAGGTCTTGTCTCTTTCACCCCTGTCTATTCCTGCAGTAGGACTCCAGTGTGTATGAGTAGATGACATGATGCTCGTTCTGTGGTGATGAACTGGACCACTTACCTGCTCTTTTGGTGCAGCCTGGTGGTGAGATACGTAAACACAAAGGGAGAAGACAATAGGTGTCTGTTTTTCCAGGGGACGGGGCTGTTTTTCCACTACACCCAGGGCTGCTGGAGGGAGAAGCAGATTGCCAGCTCAGAATGCCAGGGGAAACAGCTGCCAGCTCCAGCTTGGCCTCCAAATGGGCTTCACATTTTAGCAAGTACTTAGCGCTTTTGGGCAGGCTGGGAAAAAACAACTTCTGGAACTTACCTCCTTCTGTAGCAGATTTCTGTCTGGTCTGAAGACCAGGCAGTGCACTGACCAAGGAGCCAAAGGGAGAAATGGAAAGGATGCACCCAGTGCAATGGGGTTCTTTCACATTAACCCTGTTTCTTCCACAGAGGTCACGAAGGACTCCATTGGTTGGGGAGGTGCTACCTCACCTCTCTCTCCTGAAAGGGAGCTTTTCATGCTCTGCTTACTTTCCTTCTTAATGGTTTCACGTTTTCAGGGTTAACATCACAACTTCTCATTGCTAACACTCTTTTTAGTTTTAGAGTAGAAGTTTTATGGAGTCCAGGTGTAACTTTCTGTTTAGGTTCTTAGGCAATCTCTGACTTGAACAATAGGTAAGTTGAGGATTAGTGGTAATACACTACTCTCTCCAGTAGTTTCAGTGAGTGTGCGCTGAGCTTTTGCCATTCCTGAGCAGTGGAGTAATCACACATAATGTACATGCTATTAAGCTGGGTTTGAATTGTTTTATTTTTTTCCTGTGGGATTACTGAATACTGTGCTTCAGCAAAATGGATTAAATAAAACTTGAGCTATGGGTTTGAAATTCTGCATGAAACATCTGATCCATATTGCTGCAATGTGCCAGAAGCTGCAGTTGGTATGTCAGTTCTGCAAGCAAAAAATGATTGCAATGCAATTTCTTCTTTTTCATGTAAAATCACACGTATCCTCCCTGCAGGGATTTTCTTGTTCAGTGGACTGCAGTGTGGATTTGGAAAAAACCCCGTAATTCATTTATATGTAAATACAACCTCAAGGCTGCAAATATCCAAGCTTCTACAAAGACAGAGGCCATGTACATGAAAACAAATGGACCTGTTGTTGTTAGAAATTCATAGTTTACCATAATAGGGGTGGGGGAAAAGGCTGTGTTTGAAACCATATAGGTCAGCATTTCCGACTTCTGTGTTTGTGTTCCAATTAAAGGAAAAAATGGAAAAGCTTCTGGATATTTACTATTTTTAGGCCAACTTGAGAGGGGAAAAGCAGAAACAATATTTTTCATATGTTCTATTAGCAAAATATATGCCACAAATAAGATATTTTCGTGTTTGGCTCATACGTAGGTTTGTGTGAGTTTCATTTGGTTTGGAAGTGGGGTGTGTGAATTTTTGGCAGTTGTTTCATTTCTTTTTTTCTATGTTAAATGCAAATAAATTTATTTTTCAAGATAACTGGAAGTAGAAATTATGTCTGTGGGTCTCACAAAATGCAGGGAATTACAGAAAGTCCAGCATTTGAAAGCAGAAGAGAAGGAGGGGGGAGAGAAACAAGGAGATGGTGGATGTTTGTGGTGTCTTGCAGCAGCATTTCGTTTACCTAATTTTTGTTCCTTGATATAGTAAAAATATTTCTTTGCTAAAGTATTCTGATTTGGACTTATAACAGCATAAATTATTTTGGATATAAGTTCACATTAACCAGCACAAATTCCTCACTTACCTCTTACTGTTGCTGGGGATACAACTTCTGGCTCCTATTAATGCATCTTCTAGTTCAGCAAGGGAAAATGCAATTTAGTTTTATACCTGTTTTAGAAAAATCTATGATAAAAATGAACCAGTGTCTTCTCTAATAAGTATTAAAGACCAAACCTGTGCATTTGTAGTAAGTGCAGTCTATCCTCTTAAAAATGTCCTGGGTATATATGCACTAAACTCAAGATTAATAGGAGTTACCTAAGATAATAGGTCATTTATTTAGTGTTGCATTTCACTTCAACTTCTTTTTATTTCTGGGGTTTTTTTATGAAAACAAAGTTAATGTTGGAGTTTATGGTATAAAGAACTTTATTTCCTTCCTCTCTGTAGGCATTCTTCGAAGAAGAGCATTGACCATGAGGAAGTCCTTGTGTTAGTTGGATTTTACTAATCCCACTGAAGAAAATGGAGCCACGTTTCGGCTTTGCCAAACCTTTTTCCACCACAGTTGGCTGAAAGTGTAATGGTCATGTGATTATGCTGACACCCCAGCATGCATTTGGTAGACCTGTGGTTAACTCGTTCCCTCTCCATGTGTCTGCTCTTACAAAGTTTTGTCCTCATGATACTGTGCTTTCATTCTGCCAGTATGTGCCCAAAAGGCTGCCTCTGTTCCCACTCTGGAGGTCTAAATGTCAGCTGTAGCAATGCAAACCTCAAGGAAATACCCAGAGATCTTCCTCCAGAAACAGTCTTACTTTATTTGGACTCCAATCAGATAACATCTATCCCCAACGAAATTTTTAAGGACTTGCACCAACTGAGAGTCCTCAATTTATCAAAAAATGGGATTGAATTTATAGATGAACATGCCTTTAAAGGGGTGGCAGAAACCTTGCAGACTCTGGATTTGTCCGACAACCGGATTAAAAGCGTGCACAAAAACGCTTTCAACAACTTAAAGGCCAGAGCCAGGATTGCAAACAATCCCTGGCACTGTGACTGCACACTGCAGCAGGTGTTGCGGAGCATGGCCTCCAACCACGAGACAGCCAACAACGTCATCTGCAAGACTTCTGTGCTGGACGAGCACGCAGGGAGACCGTTCCTCAACGCTGCCAATGATGCTGACCTCTGCAACCTTCCTAAAAAGACTACTGATTACGCCATGCTGGTCACCATGTTTGGCTGGTTCACCATGGTGATCTCCTATGTAGTTTATTACGTCCGACAGAACCAGGAGGATGCGAGGAGGCACCTTGAGTACTTGAAATCCCTGCCAAGCAGGCAAAAGAAACCAGACGAAGCTGATGACATTAGCACTGTGGTATAGTATTCTGAATACAATGACTGCCTTTGTGATGGGAACTAGAATTGGATGACACTAAAACCAGAGGTTTACTTCTAACACTTGTTGTAAACATTAAGACTTTTGGGGTTGTTTTTTTTTTCCTGTTTAACTGAATTACGCCACTGTTGAGCTTTCTAAGGGAAAGTTTTGTCTGGGCGGTATACTTCAATTATTTCTCTGGTGGTATCCTAAAGCAAGTGAATTAATATGTAAACATTAGTTTAGTCCCATTCCACTATTTAATAACGAAATTTATTTTTTTAATTTAAAAACCAAATAAAAGCTTAAATTTGAACCATGTAAAGCAGAGTAATTTATTGATCAGAAACCTGTGCAGTGCCAGAACACACATTTGGTTTCTTCAGAGGAACAATGATGAAGAGGTCCAGAAGTGAAGGGTCCCTGAAGGGCAATTCTCACCCACGGGTGCAAAGTAAAAAACTGGTGAATGATAGCCTGTCTGGGGGGCTGCCCACCAGGATGGGAGAGGGGTGCAGTGTGAGGAGAGCAGATTGCTCTGACTCCAAGTGTAAGGGACTGATGCTTGGTTAAGACCTCAGAAGGCATCTTGGCAGGGAGGAGAAAACGTAAAGGAGCTGCATTTCAGGACATCAAAGAGAGGTAAGTTGAGGGTATGTGATGGATTTTCATCTTACACTTGCTTACTGCCTTGCATGAGCTTCATGCAGGTGTCCTCAGCACTGGGGAATACAGCAAGGCAAGAGCAAACTTAGTATACTGTTCAAACTGGAGTACCACTAGTGATGATTGAAATAAAACCTAATAAAACTGATTTTTTTTTAATCTGTATATAATCTGTTCATAACTAAAAGTGACTTTATTTTTTAGGGTGTAGTCTTTTTTTAAAAAATGAAGGAAATAAATGAATATATAGGCTAGACATATTCTGTTATGTGATAGGAAATACATGTTTTTGTATGATTTCATGGCTAAATATTTGGGAAGATATAAAGCCCACATGCAGTTAAACTCAGTGTTGCATATGAAATGGATATTTTAAATCTCTGCTGTCTTTGAAAATATGATGGTTTTCTCTTTTCATAGATAAACTTTTCAAAGGGAACAAATTGACAAGAATGTATTCCTCTTGTTCTTTATTACCATAATAAAATGATGTTTGTATCTGGGTCCCTGTAGATCCAGTCTAACTGACATTGGAATATGTATTATGGAAGGGTGGGTAAAAAAATGTATAAAATGCTGCTTTGCTAGAACAAGTGTTAAAGGACAGCCTTAACAATTAAAAAAACCAAAACTCTGGAGTAATTTCTACTATTAGGTTATCTGTTATTTCTGTTACAGTTATACTCTTTTATATTTTAGAGGGCACAAGCTTGTTTACTTCATTTCTTTCAGAACATTGTTGAAAGAAGAGCTAAAAGTTGTTTCAAAGCCAGTGAGAGAGCAGGAAAAAAATTTTTTTTTTTTTTTTTAATATGCGTGGAGTCAACTTTTATGTAATCTTTGTAGGCTAAGTCCTACCTGAGTTCTTGTGACCAACGTAGCTGTTTGCATTGCTTTATCTCCATGAACAGTTTTTGGCAAATCAAGAGAGTGTTAATGTTTGTAAAGGGCACAGTCTATCCGGGAAATATCTGCTGTCTGATACTTCTGTCCCTGAAACTACCTCCCTCAAGTAAAAATTTTATTTTCTAAGCTGAAAAGGCTCCTTAGTTTGCATTTTATACTTCCCTTTCTCGAAGCTCTATCTGGCTAGCTACTCAGCCCCCCGAGCTCTGCATAGGCTCCTGCGGGAGCCAAAAGCAGTAGGGTTAAGTACACATAGGAATCTGAAGAGAGCATATAAAATATTATACTCTACTGGTAATATAACAAACCCTACTGAATGGGATGTGTAGTGCCTCTGTATAGGCTGAGCCAAATTTGTTCCTGATGTAATTCTCCTAATTTCTCTAAAATTTCCTTCAGAGTGAAATTGGTTTGGTTTCTATCACTGTGTTCCCCAAGTGATATTTAGGATCCAGCTAGTATGCTACTTTTGGAAAAAGCAGGGGGGACTAGCTAAAAGAAGGGGACTGAGCTGGAGGTACCAATATAATCAAGAATTCAGTATTTATTCACAGCTGAATGCAGAAATTTCTCCACAAAATTTGGACAAAATTATTTAAACAGCAATGTTTACAAAATTCTGGATAGTCTTAAAATGTTTTTTAAACACTTGCGGTTTTAAAAATTATATTTCAAGCAACATTTTAAAAAAAGAGCCCTCTTCCCAAAACTGACTGACAAAAATGTAAAGAATGTATCTTTAGTTTTTTGGTTTTCCATTTTAGTACTTGATCCGCAAGACAGGATATGGAGCTGGTATAGATTTACCAAAGGTGAATTTCTGACTCTACATCTTTAAATCCAGACCAAAATTAATTTAAACCAAGTTAAGCATTACTCTGTAGAAATGCTTTGGAAGGATAGTTTTCAGTCAGTTCTCCAGGTCTACTGATTTTCTTTAACTGATCTCTATCAAACGTCTCTCCTCACAAAGGTTTTCCTTTGAAGTCCGTACTGAAATCTCTTTTTTAAAGTGTTAGAATCAAGGCAATACTTGGACAACCAAGAGATGCAAACTCATCAAGCTGAATTTAGCTGATGAGGAAAATTAATTAAATCACTGTTCCTCAGCTATGTGGACCTGACAGTGCTAGTTTTCCTGTCAGCTCAAATACTTGAGCTATATTTCTTTGTTTCATTGAAAAGGAACTGAAAAGAAAGATAAAAACTTTTAGCATAAAAAGATGTGAGTTTTTTTCATGTTTACTACACACCTTTCTGTCTAAAGCTACCCTGGAGAAAAACCTACACTCTGCCCTTTGAAGTCAATGGAACAAGTTTTTAAACTCTGATAAAGTTTAACACTTCAAGGAGTTATTTACAAAACCAGTTTTGCTCAAAAATTAGTAAATTGCTGTATTTTTTGCTGTGATACCTTAGCATGTAAATACAGATGAAATTGATGTTTTCTTATTCACAGGAGATAGCATGTGGCAGAAAATGAGGGACATACATAACACAGTGATTTTTTATTTTTGTTTTCAATTAAGATAATTCAGGAAATGTAGAGCTGGGGCTTAATAACTTAAATGTCATTAATTTCTCTACCCTGATTTTCTTAAAAAAAAAAACTTCCATAGTTTTTGTTTCAAAATGGTAAATGATGACTCTCTCAACCTTGGATTTTTTCTTAAAGGTAATGGTGATTTTTCTCTGTTAATTTTGTAGTGTTATTATGATCTGTGAGTAAGATCTGTGATAGTGCATTTGGTCTGTGTGTATTTAGGCTCAGACTTTATGTTTTTTATTTTTTTCTTAGCTTGGTACAGAATTAGATACAGATATCTTGATTGTTAACAGACACTGGGGTTTCAAGTCTTTGTAAGAGCAAGATTTTGCACTGCAATTGCCATAAATTTCAGGGTCTGAGTAGGGACAGAAAGTGTGGTGATCCAGGTTCTCGTCTTCCCAGGGAGGAAAGAAGATAATAGAATCCTAGTTTACCAAAGAGATGCCATGCAGAAAATCTACCACATTGTTTTTCAGCTTGAAAGGGGAAAATTGTAGGTATTAGGAAGCAAAAAAGGAAAGTAAAAGGAAGAGATGGAGACTTAAACACTTGAAGGTGTCATGGAGTTTTGCAGCATATTTAGATGTGCAGTGGGGTCACGGAGTTTTGAAAAGGGTGTCCCTCAAATTCCACACCTGGAAAAAGAGCTAAACTAAACAAGAGTAAATGAGATTTTCATGAGTTAAAACCATAGTCTTTAAATTGTAAGAGAGAAATCCAGAGAAGGAAAATGGGATATGAATTCTAGTGGGGTTGGATGTAAAGCCATAGTGTGACCAAAACAAATGGGAACTTTTTTTTTCCTAAGCAAATCAGCAAGGGCCAAGAGTTAATTGGGTATTAAGGGAGCACTGTGGGTAGATAGGACAAATGTTCTGAAAGAAACTAGGCTAGCATGTGAGAAGGGGGAAAAGTCATCCCATGAGTTAGTTACTGGTTAAAAGATAAGAAACAAAAGTAAGAAGAAATTGTCCATTTTCTTGAAGGAGAGTGGTTAATTAAATTCCTGAGAAGGTGTCCCAGAGATCTCAGAATAGGAACGATGCTGTACAGTGTATTTCTGGGTGATGTGGACAAGGGAGCTGATAACATTTATGGATTGTAAATGGTTATGCAGGGCAGTCCAACCTATAGTTAATTGTGAAGAAATACAGAAGGTTTTCACATTTCTGTGTTGGCAGGTGATGATAAAATGAAGGTTGGATTTGGTTTGAATAACTATGAAGTACTGCAGATGGCACATCCGTAGCTCTGAACACAAGGATATTCTCTAAATTGGCTATAATCAAATGGAAAAAAACATTTTGGAGGCACCGTGGGAAGCTCTTCAATGACAAATACTAGAAATTATTAGGGGGGAAATAGTTAAACAGCATGGTGGAATGACACGAAAAACCACTGAATAAAATCTGTTATGAATCCACATCTAGAACATTGTGTTCAGTTCAGATTCTCCTTGTCATCCAGAAAGATGAACTTATATCTGAATTACTGTGTAGAGAAAGACAATAAGATCATGAAGGATATGAAGTTGTTTCCATAGGGGAAGACATCTAACATCCCCAAGCCTGGGGGCAAGATACCATAAGAACTCATGATAGTAACTGGAGTAGTACACAAAAGGTAACTTCAGAAAGTCTGATCTCTGTTTCTTGCAACAGAAGATAGAGCAGTTCTGATTAGACAGTGTCAGGCAATGGGTGTTGGGTTTTTCTTAAAATACTTTTTGTAGAGAGCATGCATTTAAATGATAAAGTACAGGGTACTGTAGAGAAGAAAACACAAATTCAAAGTTAGGACTCCAGAAATTCTTGGAAGTCAAGGTTGTTAGCAGTTGACAATACTAAAATTACGTAGATAAAATTGTCAACAAGGAAGGTCTCTACTCAGCCCAGAAAGCAGGGATGGTTTCCCTAGGAAAGGCTCACAAGTCTGTGCTTCTCTTACTCTGTCTGAGATGCTGCTGTGGGTGTTTGTAGAAGAAAAGGTGGGCTTGATTTGTATGACTCGGATGCTCTCATACATCCAGCGGGATGCAAATCATGTTACCAACCTGTGAGGCTTGAAAGGGTATTTGTTGTGTGGACAAGGAGGTTTCACATGCATGGAGTGGGAATGAAGTCCAGGAAAAGTAAAATCACTTTTAAATGTTGGCATCTCCTCGCGGTGAATTGCAGTATGAACTGCTGGGCAGGGTTCAGGCG